AAATTGAAATATTAAAGCTATGGCATTGTTGTTTTGATTATTTTACAAGTAGGAGAAATAGGAATATTATAAATCATCATGTACAAATTAAGGGGAACCCCCTCTGCAGTATGCAAATACGATTATGCAAATGTTACTATGGCAATGTGTCATTTCTAGACATTAATTAATATTTAATAGAACAATATATACTTCATAGCTAGGTCAACAACACAATTTGGCTTTCTTGACTAGTACAAATCTGGTACACTGCAATGCAAATACATATATACATATGCGTAATATATATATATATATATATATATATATATATATATATATATATATATATATATATATATATATATATATATATATATATATATATATATAGTACACATCTTATTGCTCTGTGACAATTTAACGACACAGTGTAGGTTACTTATTACTTGTCGTTGAGGGTAGGTTACTTATTTATTTCAACGACCTATTGAAAATCAAATACAAGCACGATCGTGGTAACAATGTGTATAGGCTAATCATAAACACTTTCCCAAGGTCTTCCAAGAAATTTACGTGCTTGCGCAAAAGTGTACACACACCATGCATATAACCGTGATATATATATATATATATATATATATATATATATATATATATATATATATATATATATATATATATATATATATATATATATATATATATATATATATATATATATATATAGTTTATCGTTTTACCTCAAAAAACCACAACAGTCTGTTTCATTCGTATAGGAATCATCAGATGAAACAGACTGTTGTGGTTTGGAACAACGGATGAAACAGACTGTTGTGGTTTTTTGATGAAACAGATGAAACAGATGAAACAGACTGTTGTGGTTTTTTGAGGTAAAACGAAAAACTATATTACGCTCTATCTATATGGTATTGAGCACTGTTTGTGTTTCATAAACCAAAATCTTAAGCTATATATATACATACATATATATATATATATATATATATATATATATATATATATATATATATATATATATATATATATATATATATATATATAT